GCCGGGCAGGCTCTTGGCCTCCCTGCGGTCCTCGGGGGAGAGGGGTCGCGGTTTACTTCCCTTTCGGCCCTCTAGAGAAAAAGGGCCGCGGTTTTTCTTAGCCCCTGGGCCGGGCCCTTTGTCGGAAGCGGGGCGCGGTGTGTGTGTGCGGGGCGGGGGTGGGGGGGAGGAGGTGTCCCGAGAGCGACTGCCCTTGTCCCGGGGATGGTCGCTCGTGGGCAGCGAGGCGCTGGGACGAGCGGAGGCGATTTGCCGCCACTTGTCATTCTTTGGGCAACACCCCCACCACCCGGCTCTTTGTTCTCGCGAGTGTTGGAACTTGTAGGGACCCTTCACATCCAGGAGTCAACTCGTTTCAAAAACTTCTGGGTCTGTCCATGTCTAAACTTCAGAAGTTTTATATAGCTTTTCATGTTACAGTATTCACATTGTATTTTTCTGACCGATAAACGGCTGTTAAACCTAGCACTCTAGAATCCGTGTGGACTACAACTCTTCTCTGCTCTTGAGGGATCATCTAGTCCTGTCGCCCAGTGTCACACAATCGATTGAATTAAACGTGAGCCAGGGGGAAAAACAGCATGAGAAACTGGATTTTTTTTCTTCTCTCCTTGGAACTCATAGGAATCATGTGCCCTTTTCTTCTGGAATTAAGCTTTTTGTTCACCAGAGCATCCAGATTTTAGGGTAGTCGTGCAGGGTACGTTTTCAGTGTGGCTTCACATTTTATTATGAAGAGGCAGCCTGTTGTATGTAGCAGGACACAAAATTTGAAATCAGGACTCCTGGCTTAGCTAGATATTTGCTATGCACATTATGTCATCTCTCTATGCCTTAGTTTTCTTGTCTTTAAAGTGGGAATTTTTTTTTTTTAAGCGCCTGCATCACCTGGTCTTCCTAGGCGTTCTCCCATCCAAGTACTAACCAGGCTCGACCCTGGCTTAGCCGAGATCAGATAAGGTTGGGCACGTTCAGGGTGGCATGGTCTATACACTAAAGTGGGAAATTTTAGTTCCCACATATGTGTACAGTGAGAACATGTGTTAAGCACCTGTTTATGGCCAGTATTCCATAAATATTGCTCTGCCTCCTCTCCGTCCCTTTGCCAGTTGAGCAGCAGTTTTTACTTTGATGAATTCTAACGAGTTTCTGTTTTGTGCTAAAAACTTTTTTTTCCCTCCTTAATTCCAGTATAATTACTGTGGAAGTTTGGGAAATAGAGAAAAGTATTAGGAAAACAAATCATTTGTAATCCAACTTTCAAGACAAAATCACTGCTGACGTGGCTCTGTTGTATTTAGTTTTCTATCCTGTTTTCCTTTTTAATATCGTAAGTCTTCAAAGATGTTGTATGGATTTATCAAAACACTTTTTTTACTATTGGGAATTCGGGGTTTTAACATTTAAACTGTTTCAATAAATCTTATTTTCCATTTCTTATAACCACTGTTTGAGATTTGTGGAACTGTTCTGGTATGGGTCACATTAAAATTGAGCATAAGAGGATCCTTTTGTGAAAATTATTTGTTGAAGGAACATAAATGAGACAATTGTGTTGTCTAATGAGTGAGCTTTAAGGATATAATTAAATTTTTTCATGTCGAATGTAATTCTGGCTTGCAATTGGGATTGCTTTCTGAAACTTAAAAACAAATAGTTGTTATAAAAGGAGTCTAATAATTCCTTATCTTGATCATCAGATAATTACATTGTCTGATTTAGAATGTGATTACATTAATGCTAGATCATGTTGCTCGAAATTAAACAAGGTAAGACATTTCTTTGCTCATCTTCTGGTATCAAAGGCAGTTCTCCGTTTTCTGTTAGAGATTATTATAGATAACCAATATATGTATGTTTGATTTTAGAGTGCCTGTTGTCTCTTATTGGAGTGTTGGTAGAACTGTGTTTTGCAATATTTTAGATCACGAAACTGTACTAGAAGACCTAACTTCTTGTTTCTTTGCTCTGCTTCTTGTCCTTTTGTCTTCAATGGACAGCGTCACTACTCAGACTAGGTAAAGGTTCCTTCTGAGGGTAATTGTTTTTGTCTTGTGTCCAAACCTCTTCCTCTCTATTCATGGAAAAAAAACTTGGTCTGTCTTTTGTTGCATGAAAGACAACCTTCTTTTTGTGGCTTGCTGAGAAATGGAGTTAATTAGCTGATTTGTTTTAAAGCCATTTTACCTTTAGTACCTATATAGAACTTTATATTGGCAAGGCCATTCTGAATTGCAGAGCTTGTCTAGATTCAGAGAAACCAGTTGCTCCTGATTCATTTTAAGAGATGAGCAGACAGATGGGCTTTCCAGATAAAAGTTCATTTAAAAATACGGTACTAAAAAGGTGCTTTTGGCTTGACCTAAAATGATTCCCATGTGTCTTTCACATCTTCAGTCTACTTAATTTTCTCTGGCCCATGAGGGAAATAAAGATACAGTTCGAAAGTTAAAATATTTGGTAAACTATATTCCTCCTCTTCTTCTTTCCTCCCTTCTTTCCTTCCTCCCTCTCGCTCTTCCTCCCCTCCTCCCTCTCTCCCTTCTTCCCCTCCTCCCTCTCTCCCTTGCTCCCCTCCTCCTTTATTCTCTCTTTCAAATTTTTCAGAACATGGTTTAATATACCGATAGATTTAAGTAAATGATTATCTGTTTATCTGCTATGCTTTGAGAGTTCTTTTAAAAGCTGTTTTTAATTAGGATATAATATATAACATATTAGTTTCAGGTCTTCTTTAGAAGAATGACTATATATAATCAAATGAATTGTATTTCTTTTTATATTTCTTGCTTAATATTTTGGATGGGTTTTTTTTAAATAAAAATAATCTAAATACAAAGAAGAGATTATCTCAGAAAGTTACCCCTTCAATTTGAAATTAAGTCATTTTTTTAATGTTAATTTTTATAAGTAACTTTTCCTAGTTTGCACAGCTAATAAATAGGGTAGAGCGTGGATTCCACCCCAGGTTTGTTTGACTTTGCAGCTCACACTTGGAAGCATATATTAAATTGGTCACATTTTAAAAAATGCATATAACATTAAAAAGATCCAGTTAGTTGCAAATTAGGTTTAAGGTCCAGAAAATCTCTTCTTTGTTTGCAAAAAAGTACCTAAAAATCTAAATGCAAAGAGACCTGGGTCCAGTGTGTCTGGGCTTATATTATTATTGCTGTGCCATTAAGTAGTTGTGTAACCTTGGGCAAGTTACTTAACCCGAGTTTTACTTCCCTCATTTCTGTAAGTGGGAAGTGCCAGTTTCAGACTCTGTAAATATTAGCTATTAAACTTTATTAAAAGAAAAATTTCTACTCATAAGAGAAGACCATTGGTGAATTGAGAACCTGCCAAAGTAGCTGCTGATGCATGAGAACTAGAATACTGCACAGTAAAAAAAAGAGAGCACAGATAACGGCACTGGATGCTCTAAAGCCACCAGGCTGGGATTCTGGTATCCCAGTTCATTATCATGTTTGTTCAGCTCTGAGCTGCTGTTGTTAAAGTACTATTTGTGTGTGAGAGAGAGAGGAAGTGTGTGTGTGAATGACTGAGTATGAAATGATTTCTCTTAGGAGTCTGGACATTGAAAAATGTTCAAGATTGACATTCTGGCTTAAAAGGCAGCATGTATGTGGATATAGCATCCCAAATTAGAGTAAGAGGCATTAGTATAGATATTGGAATAGAAAGTAAATAATACTCTATATTTCCCTAATTGTCATTCATGCCTGCTTAGTGAATGAATCTGAACCTTTGCTTAGGACAAATGTAATTGAAATTTAAGTGCATTATTTTTATGCTGTGCTCTGCCGTATTTGCATGGGGTAAGCAGTTCTATCATGATGCAAATCTGGGACATCCGAGTCTAAAAATATCTTGAAACACTAGCTTGGAAGTTCCCTGTACCTTCATTGATTTAGTTTCAGTTAACATGTACATTCAGGAAGAATAGCGAAGTGAGTGTCATGCTCTGTCTTCCCTTGCAGTGGGTAATTCCAGAATTGATTGGCCATGCCATTGTCACTGTATTAATGCTCATTTCATTGCACTGGTTCATCTTCCTCCTCAATTTGCCCGTTGCCACTTGGAATATATATCGGTGAGTATAGTTTATTTACTGCTTGTGTCTAGTTTACTACAGTTTAAAGAAAAAAAAAATTTTTTAAATTTTAACAGCGTTCTCTTTTCCAAAAAAAATATGTGCCAGTCATAAAATAAATGACAGCAAAATGCTTTATTAAGTCAGCATAAATTTTTGTTTAGTATACTGGGCAAGTAGCAATTTGCATGGCTCCCTCTTGTAGTAAAAACACATATTTACATGTGTAAATTTTAAAAATATGTAATATTTATTTGTGATATCTAAAGACTTGTGAAATTTTTTTATTGTCTTGCCTATCGTTTTCCTTTAAGAATGACCAAAAGCCTGAGAATATAATAAAAGGTCCTTGTCATTTATATCTGCAGTTTTTAATTAGAGTGTACTTGGAATGCTCCAAAGAAAATTTCATTTTAAAGCCTACCAATTCGATAACTTCAAAATTTTGACTTAATAAATTTAGGAAGTTTGTTCAGCCATAGCTCAATATAAACACTAATTGAATATAATTTTATAGTTGAGCCATTGTATATTGCATATTTTCTTGTGAAGAACTGTGGAATAATCTTGACAAACCTGGGATTATTTTTATGTTAGGTTGCTACTCTACTAAATTTTAAGGCTTTAATTTTATTTATATCTAGTTTTTTTTTAGGTAAAATCATGGGCTTATTTTTAAGCGTGAGTTTTTAAAAGTGCAGTTAGAACAGGAAAGAATAGCGGAGGAGTGGAGAGAGGACAGAAAGCGCATGAAAAGATAATGGAAGGTAGTGGAGATGAGGAAGCGAGTGGATTCGGGGAATGATTTTATGAAGATCGTGATACTGCAACCTTGAGCTAGGGGAAAGTTGTTAACTCTGTACCTCTTTTCCAGATGGCGGGTCCAGAGGGGTAGAATTTTTTGTTTTCTTCTCATTTTCTCATTGCTCTCCCATGATCATCTTAGACCAACACTGTAACCTGAGCTTAGCACTAGAATCAGACTCCTTACGCTTATCATGAGGTGTGAGTCCACACAGGCTTTTAGCACAGCTCAGTATCCCTGTGATACTGTGGATACTGTAAGTGGAACACAGATTTGGGAGTGAGAATGGAAACCTTTGAGACTGTGCATCTCACTGATATCCCAGACCACAGTTTCAGTCAGCTCCACTAGCAAGGAAAATGCGCCAGAGGAGGAGCAGCCTTTGGCATGACTTCTCTGCATGTATCACAGACTGGTGGAAGGCTCTATGAAGTTTTATTTGAGGGGTAATAAAGTTCATAGATTCTGTTTCCTATAATCATAAAGACAATGGCAGTTACAGATTGTCTGCTGCTCACAGATTTACCATCTATTTAAAAAGGTTTAAAAAATCAACAGATGGATCATGTCCTCTTTTCAGATGTCTGTATTTATCTATTGGGGATACAGATATTGATGAAATGGACTTTACCCACAGGACAAAGAGGCAAAACACTGAGGGTTCCAATTTCTCCACATCCTTGCCACACTTATGTGTCTTTTTTATTTTAGCCATCCTATTGGCTATGAAGTGGTGTTTCATTGTGGTTTTGGGTTCCATTTCCCTAATGACTAATGATACTGAGTATCTTTTAATGTGCTTATTAGCCATTTATATATCTTCTTTGCTCTATATGTTTTGAATAGCTAAGTTGACATGAAATAAATTATGCTTTGGGAAGATTTTTCTGGAAGCGTTGTATATTCGATGGAGGTATAGCCAGAGGTAGAGAAACCAGTTCAGTGACTGCGGTAAGATAATTGAGTGATGGAAGAAGGTTGTGGTGGTGAGAATAAAAAAGACACGGCTCTATTAAGTGGTGAAAGGAAGGGAAAACGGACAAGATTTTGATCTACTGCCTATGAAGAGAGAAGTCAGAACTGAGAAAGAGAAGGTTTTTAAGGCCCACCAAGAAAATGGTGACACTCTTATTCGATAACCTAGAAGACAAAGAAGGATAAGACTCTTTGAGACACTTTGAGTTGAGCTGTTATCTGGATATTCAGAGGTACACACCCCCTCTCCAGCTAGAGATGGGCTATTAGGATTTGGCCGAGAATTTAAGATTTGTGGAACTCAGAGAGGTATTTGCATTTCACGTAAGTCACAATTGAGAACACTGAATGTATGGCAATAGCGAGGAAGAAGAACTAGAAGCAGCGTGGAAAGAAAGCTGGAGGAGGCCACGAACAGCGCTAGGTTAGGACATGGACATTGCACAAGCAGCATAGTCTGGATGTTGAGGCCAAGATGCTTAAACTCATTGTTTCTCTCAAAGTAACTCAATTTCTTTACTTGTAAAAAGAATCAGTTGAGGAGGAGGAAGACTATCGTGTAGCTAATATAGAAACAGTGATATTAAGTAAACATGAAATGTGATATATCATCTGAAGAACCCAAAAGACTCCATAGTATATTCAATATAGTATAATCAAGATTTTTTAAAAAAAATTTGAGTCTGCTCTGATCTGAGTTGAATTGGCCTGGATTTGGAACTAGGCATGTGTATCGACTTGTAGCCCTGTTCTCATTCCCCCACTGTGGTCGTCCCTCCTCCACTGTAAAAAGTACATTTCTTATTTGTTTAGTTTTGTATTTAATCTGTATTTTTTTTTTAAACAGTAATGTAGAGTTAGACATTGCATTTTGAGTCGGAACTATCCATTTACTACCTTAACTGAAGAGTTTTATTTTACCACAGTAGCATTTACTCTAAATCATTTCTGTTCTGTCTTCTCTAAATTGCTCTTCTAAGGTCGATTCCATTTGTAAATCTTGCAGATGGAGACATATTATCTATTGATCAGCAGGAGCACCAAAGATGAGGTTTCTATTCTGGACATAGAATCTCTCTTTATTGCCATCTGTGAAATGGGAATAATTATGTGTGACACTGCTCTTCCTTATAAAGATGTTGTGAAGGTGAAGGGAATAGCATTAATTAATTTAGGACTTTGTAGATAAAGAAGTTTCAAAGAACTTGATCAAATTGGTTTGGTTTTGGAGCCCTCTTCATTTGTAGGGATGACTGTAGGTATGACTGGTTCAGTAGTTTTCTACAGAAGACGAGAAAGAGGGTCTCAATGCATAAAATAGTCTTCTCTAGCGTGTTACCGTATATTTTTCAGAGGGCACAAAATTACACCAGAAATTAACAGTATTATATCTTTCAAAGGAAGACTAAGTGGTGGCCTGTGATATCATACTACCTTGTCCATATTTGGTTTGAATTTAAAACTGCTACAAGTGGTTCACTTTTAAATGTTGATTATTATTGGTAACTTATTTTTGACTATTTATGCTGATGATTTGATTTTCTTTTTAATATGCGTGCATCCTTTAATTTATTAGGTTCATTATGGTGCCAAGTGGTAACATGGGAGTGTTTGATCCAACAGAAATACACAATCGTGGGCAGCTGAAGTCACACATGAAAGAAGCCATGATCAAGCTTGGTTTCCACTTGCTCTGTTTCTTCATGTATCTTTATAGGTGAGTCTGCAATCCTCCTGGCATTTTCTTGGATGCCATGCCTGCTTTTGTTGGGTGAGATGTTACTATACTGTAGAATTTAGCACTGACATTGGAAAGCTTTGGGGGATTATGTGAATTTCTTGTGGCTGTGTAGATTTTTTTATGAATGTCACTGAATCAGCATCCTGCCTGACCTACAGTAGAGTTACTCGGTGGAATTAGTTATTCCTTAGTGGTAGAGGCTGTCGATATGCTTAAAACTGTCTTCACTGCTCTTTTCCTGCTCTGGTGTCCAGTCGCAAGGTCTCACTGCCTGTTATAAATTTTAATCTGTGTTCCCCAAAGATTGTCACTCTCATATGATGCCAGACCACTGGCAGCAGGTCTCAGCAACTTATATCCAGTTGGGCTTATCTTTCTTGGCAGTAAGGAATTGAGGGGTGATGCTTATTCTCCAGCATGCTAAGTGGTCTGTTCTGGTAAAATTGCATCAGTCTTAGGTTATAAAATATTGGAAGTAAGAATTAATATGAAAGATTAGCTGTGAGACACTGGACACCTTATGCAGTTCTGTTTTAAACTTAAATTTATTACTTTGTTTTTTAGAGACGAACATGCCACCTTTTCTAGAACCTATCATAGATGCATAGATAGAGCAAAACGACTTGTCATGTGTGTACGATTTTATTAAATATTTAAGATGCTAGAAGTCAGGCTTAACCTTTGTATATGAGCTTAGTCAGAGCATTCTTCTCTTTTCCCAGGTAAATTTTAATTTTTCACATAGGTATAAGAATTATTGGGAAAAACTTGTGCTGATCTAAACTTTCATTCCTCAGAAAAGTCCTGTTAATTAGAATCTGTATAGAGGTAGCAAGTTAGAAAACTGCAGTTTTGTCTGAAGTAGTTTAAAAGTCAGAACCATCTTAGCCTCTGCCTTAATAAGCAGGCTTCCTAAACTTTGGCTTTTCTAATTCCACTCACTAGCATAGATTAGATTGAAGTTGGAGTTTGGATGGTTTCTTTTTCACTATTTTTCTTATTTGCTTTTCTATATTTAAAAAACTAGGATGGAAAAAGCACACTGGTACCAGTTTCTAGTTTTCATACCCTATGTCACTGTTAATGTGCTTAATTCTTAATCCTAGTATTAAAGATGAAGAATAAAGAGCAAATTAATATTAAGAACATGGTGACACACCTATTATCATTTTTATTACTTTTTTAAGTTAAATGATATGAAGATATCTTTGGCATCATATACATTCCTTTATATTTGTTTCTAAAGAGAAAATAAGCAAGCTGGAGTCAGCTCAAGGTTATATTTTCTTCATCCTCCCCCTCCAGGTTTTGCATTGTTGGGGTGCAAACCAGAGTAGACATTCCTTGGGTCTTGATAACAGAAACTTCTTGAGACAGCTGTGGGTAAAGCTACTGTTGCCCTACTGCTGGGAGTAAATGTAGGATTAGGGAGCAGTATCTTGCTTAGTAGACCTGGACTCTTAGGATTTAAAAATACACAAGAGTTTCTTGGCTCCCAGTTGTTGAATTGAAAGCAGTAGGAAGACGGACTGAAGACCGGGGATTGGACAACCAGGCAGCAGCTTGGGGGTAGGTATATGGTTCTTTATCACTAAGTGAGAGACAGGCAGCCTGTGTGTTGGGTCTGACTGAGTAGCTAGCTGTTTCTCACTGCTGCATCCTTGCTTTTTCTCTTCCCTTTCTTCCCTCTACCCTCCTCAGTTTGTCATTTTTAGCCACATTGCTGTCACTTTACTCCTTGGCATCGCCCATGGTTCAAGGGATCAGGATGAAAGAGTAGTCTCAGAAGATGTCCTTGTAACACGTTGCTCTTAGCTTTTGGTTGCTGTTTAAAAGTGGTTTTATTTCCAAATCATCATTTTTCTAATGTGGGATTCTATGCTGCTCCTCTCTGTTATCACTGGCTGCAGTTTGCATGGTGCCTTGCACATGGCATACGCTCAAGGTTTGTTAAATAGAATTAAAGGGGAAAAAATGCCCGTCTTCTTTAGAGATTGGTAGAATCTGTGCCTTTGGTTTTTTGGTTAGGTGCTATGAGGGAAATCTGGGCTCTGCCACTTAATCACTGTGCAACCTAGAGCAAGTTTCTTAACCTCTCTGTGCCTCGATTTGTTTACATGAAGATGAGATAGTAATAGCCCCTACCTCGTCAGATCCTGATTTGGACTAAATGAGATAATGCCTGTAAAGCACTTAGGTCTGTGCTGACCTGTAGTAAACTCTAAAAAAAGTCTTTCAAAAATATTAGCTACCATTAATCTGTGCTGCGCACTGAGTACACTTAATGTGGTTCGGTTTGGACAGCTAACCTTTCAACAGCAACATAGGCCATGAGCAACATAAGGATATTTCTGTGTGTTTTCATCATTTAATCTCAGCAGAGCAAGGCTGATTCTATAAAAGAAAATGATAGTTTTGTTACTGCTGACCGTGGTAGTTTTAATAGAGTATTTATTGGGTGACTGCTGTGTGTGTCAGACACTGTATAAGGCACTGCAGGTGACACAAAGGAGCAGCACGTAATCCCTCTGTAAAAGCTGGGAGCTGGTATTGCAGTGTTTGGGTTTATCCTGGAATGTGAAAGTGATGACCCGGATCCTGCGCTCTTGCCCAGGGGTAGAGCGGGGCCCGTGGGGTAAGCGCTGGAAGGAGCCGTGCGCATGCCCTGGGCTGAGGCCTGCTTTCCCAACGAGGGCCAGGGAGCCCGCTCGGGGAGCCTGAACAGGAACTTAGCAGGTGGTGGGGTGTGCTGGTGGGGCGGGGTGGGGTTCCAGGCGGAGGAACAGCATGTATAGAGGTCTGGCTAGAAATTTAAAGTATTTTTCCTGGACATAGTTTGTTTTTTCTAAACTATAGCCCAACATTGGTTTTAGGTTATACTCCTCACCCTCACCCCACTTACTTTTTTTTTTTTTTTAGTGAAAAACATAGGACATCGAGAAGCCCTAATACAGATTTTCTTTCTTTTAGGTATAAGTGATTGTCTTTCACTCAAATGGTTGTTCCGTGCCGAGCCTTAGGGTTACAAGTCTGGACAGACCAAGCTCTGTAGGACGTTCCTACGGAAACATTAGTAACCTGAATTTCTTCTCTCCACAGTATGATTTTAGCTTTGATAAATGACTGAAGCCAGAGAAGCCGCGAAGTCAGCCTACACTACAGTGCTCAGCTGAGGAGCCAGAGACTACTTAATTCATCCTTAGAACCGTAACCATAGCAGTATATTTTTTCCTCTTTGAACAAAAAAATATTTTTGCTGTATTTTTACCATATAAAATATTTAAAAAACATGAATTGAGTTTTTGTAGATTTCTGGTTCTCAGCTTTGGCCTGAACCCCAGCATGTGACGGCGTCCCTCTCCATCCGTATGTTGACGGTTTGCATGCAGGATCAGGACTGCTGCCCAGACGCGCCTGCCGCGGGAGCGGAGGGCGCACTTTAAGGGAATCTTAGTAGAGGAGCAGAGCCGCTCGCCTAGTAGCCTGAAAAGCCAGAGTGTAAAACAGCACTGTAATCTGGGCAAAGGAGGAAAGCAAGCGCATTACCCTTTTGCCTGCATTGTGGCAGTTTCATGTATTTAATTATAGTTGAAAGATTTATGGGATTGTCAGATGAAAGTCCTTTCATGAGAATGTTAACAGAAAACATTTTAAAAATTATATATTTCCTTGCAGAACTTGTGAAACCTTAAAAGCCATTTGTCCAGGTACAATGTAATTCCTAATTATAGAAAGGAAAAAAGAAAAACCTAAAATTTAATCAAGAGCTTTCGTTTAAAAGCTACTGCCTCCACTGTCATCCCCAACCCTACACACCCCTGCTGGCCCTTGCCAGGTCTGTTTTTGTATTCTAATCGATCCAATTGTATTTTCTCGCTCTGATATATTCTGAGTGGGTTTGGAGAGGTGATCTGGCGGGAGATGCTCATCAGACTGGAAGCGGGAGTGGCCAGTGTCGGTGACGCTGAGTTTGTCAGTGCTCTGCTTGGTGCCAGATCGACCTACCACTTTGTTCCTGCTGCTCTGGCCACTGTGTAGATTGAGAGACCCAACACAAGCCATTTTATATACATGGCAATACCCAGCCAAACTCAGTTCTTTCTGAGCTATATTGTAAACTCTTGCAGTTGGCGAAAGCAGTTAACCTCACTGGCTCTGTTTGCTGGGTAAAGTGAACCTGGCAGTTTATTCTGTCCTAGTTTGTGCTTTAATGTTGCTATCTTAAGTGTTGGAATTTAGGCAAAACATGACTATGTTTTATAGCAGAGTCCAAAGGGATTATTCACTCAGAATTGGGTGGCTAAACAAGACGTGCGTTCACCGAAAGATCAGATGTTGCATGTCCTTTCAGCCTTGGACTAAGTGTGGCTGTTGCAGAAGTCAGAGCTGGCAGAACTCCCTATAGAGATATCCGTGTTTCAAGGATGGACATAGTGCCCTGGCTACACATGAAAGGAATGTGAAATGGTAGGCAAAGTATACTTGGTCCTATTGGCTTCTTTGGGGTCTCAGAAATTGCTCCTTGTGGTTATCTTGGATTTCTGCCAGGCAAAGAGCCAAGAAGCCGTAACACAGAAGTCTTAGATACCTTTTCCTTCTAAGGCACCGTTGTCTGTTTAAAAAATAAAAATAAAAACCAGTCCTTTCACTCTGCCTTTCTCCCTGATTTCCAGTGCCTCTTAATGTTCTGCTCAAACTATTGAAGCAATGGAAGCCGTTGGAGAACTTAAATCCTTAGAACTGAGAGACAAGAAGCTCAAAGGTGGTGGCAGACTGTTGACCAAAATGTTTCATCTTCTCATTCAAGTATTCTAAATAACCGAAATAGAACCCATGCAGTTGAGAGAGCCTCTGGCTGGCAGTGTGCATGTCAGGCATCAGTCGCTGAGGCCAAGCACATCAGAAGGGTGTTTCGTTTACAACAAAGGACAGGAGCTCTTCTGGAAATGAACTGTGGTTAAAAACAAAACCACCTTTCTTGTGTCACTTGTCTGTATCAAAGCCAGGAAAAGGGGGTAACTAGATTTTATTTTTAAATTTTTTAGGGGCATCTCTACAAATGATGGAAAGGGAAAAAAAAGCACTAACTTTTAAAGCTGTGGTTAAGATGCTATATATTACTTTTCTATGCTTTTCTCTGATTGGAAAGTTGCAGAGGACTATAGCGATCCTTTGGTGTAACTTCTTCCATCTTAAAGATTGAGAAGTGAGGCCTAGAGATTGCATCTGGAGGCCTGGTGGTTGTGCCAGTGTTCACCGCCCCCTCCACTCCTCTTCCCTGGCCCTCTGTGAAGGCGCAGCGCCCAGGGTGCGCCTGTGTGCACGATAGTTTTACTTGTGTGTTGTGTCATTGTCCCTTGTCTTTGTCCTCCCGTCCTCTCAATGGCAGCAGGTGCCCTTGCAAATCACTGGACCCTCGCTGAGAGCGCTGAGGATGCAAGATCTAAGAAGTAGCTCAGTTCTTCGAAGGCTGGCAGGTCCCTCAGCTACCTTTTCCTACCACACACATGACAGTGGGCTAAGAGTCCAGATCGGCTTTCTCTCACCTGGTCTTCCTTTCCATGGAACTTTATCTCCTGTGGCACTTACCACTTTCTATCTGCTATTAGTTCTTTGTGTTCGGTTAATCTCCTACTAGACTGTACGCTCCTGGAGGGCAGAGTGTGCTCTTACTCATGTTTGTATCTTGTTCCTGCTGCTCCCGGCACCTAACACAGTGCCTTGCACACAAAAACAATAAACGATTGTTGAATGAACAAGTAAATCTGATTGCGTTGTTCTATTGCTCTTTCAGCAAGAACTCTAACTGATGTCCTTTACGTCAGAGAAGCAGCAATGGAGCAACATAATCGAAGCCCACCATCTTTGTTTTCAAGGCCACATTGTGACATGCTAGACTAGCAAAGGAAACTTATATTTGGTACACTTGAGACTTGTGAAATCAGCTTTGCTCACAGGTAATATTTTGTCAGAAGTAGTTGTGGTGAAAAGTCTGTGTATAAGGTGCAATTGTACCTAAAATGTAAATAAACTTGTTCTAATATATAGAAACAGGCAGCATGGTAGAAAAGGTTAAGTCTGAAATTCTGTGCTTATCTAGATTTCTGCCACCCAAGTTTATGCACTTTAAACCAAATACATTATTTTGCTCTGTAGTGTAACAAAGATTGGAATGTTCTTGTAGTTAACAAGGCTGTTCAAATGGGCCGTTTTGACTTTCTGAGGGTTTGTCAGTGAAGCCTTTTGGCTTTAAGCCGACTTCTGAAAATTCTCAAAGGTAATAGCCAAACTGTTTTGCTCTAGTTAAATACAATCTAATGACAGGGTCTTTCAAAGCATTAGGGTTAGCATCATGAGCTGCAGTAGTCACGGTAATAATCTGGCAGAACCATACTTAAAGGGTTTGCTCACTTAGCTGGCTTGGTACTGAGCCCAAGTTGCTCTTTGGAAGACATCCTTGATAAAAGCTTTTGTTTTCACTTTCTTCCCTCTGAAGGTGGGTGGGGACAAGTGAGTGGGTGGGTGGCTGGTCAGAATCGGTGAGCTGAGAGCTTAGACGTTTGACTGTGGCTTCCTCTGCTGTATATTTAGTTTGCTACATTCATTATGGCGTAATCTTGGTTTCATCTTTATCTGTTCTCATTAAACATGGCCACTTAGTTAAAAAGTGAATCAGTTTAACAAATACTTAAATTCCTGTTCTCTGATGGAGCACCTCGTGTGTCTGTCAGATAACCGAGAGGGCAGAGGAAGATTGAGTTTACACTGCACACTGCTACTCCAGCCATCTCTCCCTTACTCCCAGTTTGCTTCTCAGGGCCCTGTGCTTTATCAGAATCCCCTTTGTTCATGCAGAGGACTCAATCTCCTATCTGCTAATCTAAGTGCCACACACTCTTTGAGCAACAGGCTGGCACTTGAACAAGGAAGGAGCTCGAATCTTTTGTCTATTTTCACAATTCACTCAAATTGATGGTCTTGGGAGGAGAGATGGAATCAAGTTCTAAAGCCTACTCTTATCACTTGATTTGATCAGCAGCCTATTTCATAGATTGTACGCAAATCGGGTGACAGTTGAACCTGATAGTTCAATTAAAAGCAACAGGTCTCTATCAGAGACCTGCAGGGCAAGGCTAATTATTTGGTAATTTTCTGTTTTATTGGCTACAGTAATCAAACTCATGGGCATTCTTGTTTTATACATAAATCTACCTTCCCTCTGCCACTGTTTTCAGTCACCAGACATCATGATGTAATATTTCTGTACGTATCTGAGTGTTAACATACACACACACACTTAGCCATAGTACCAGTGTCATACATGAACTAGTAATTCCTTAGTACTAAATATCCAGATTTACCCCACTGGCTCGAAAGTTTTACAGTTGGTTTATTCACATTGGGATCCAAACAAGATCTGCATACTTAATTTGGTTAATGTCTCGTCTCTTGAATCTACTAGGTTTCTTCTTTTTCCCTTGCAATTTGTTGAAAAAACTGGGTCACTTAACAGTGATCATTTGTTGTGTAGAACCTCCAATATTCTGGATTTGGCTGAACATCTCTGTTAACTTTTAAATCACTCTTAAAAAATTGTGGTTTTACTATGTGCATTCTCACGCATTATAGTGCTACTTGGTAGGATACTGGTAGCTGCTTTTATAGATGAGGGACCTAGGCTACAGGTTAAGTAACTTGTCTGAAGTGACACACCAAGTGATAGGATTTTAACCACTACACTCTAAGTTTATAAAACCATTTAAAGATATTCAAATTTATTGTGGAGATTTTCTTCTGTAAAACATGTTTTGATTGCTTTAATTGCATGGAGAGAAGTATCCTGATATAATTTCAGAAGTGTTTTCTTTTATAACTATGTAGTTACTAGAATTAGTAAAGTGGGCCCTTAAACTTCACCTATCTTTGACAAGTTTTAAGTCAATTTTATTGCAAGCTAAATGGCCATCTACAGACCAAGGGAGATTTATATGGTATGGTGTTTCAAACAAGCTTAGAGGCACCTAGCTTTGAGTTCCAGCTCCTTCATACCACTTAGTTTATTTAATGTATTGGCCCAAGTGAATACCTGTTATGTATTGAAGTCACTCAGTGACCAAACAGTTGTGCAGTGTTGTGGTTACCTTTCAGTATCTTTCTTGCTCCTGCTTTTAACTCTTGGTCTCGATGCTGAACTAATACAACATAGTCTTGTGGTTCTCCAAAACCAGTAAGTGGATTAGTGCTGATACTGTAAAATTACTTGGGGTTTTAATAAATTTTGACTACAAAGTGGT